CCTTGTCCGGTTTTGGGATCAAGGTGATGCTGGCCTCATAAAATGAGTTTGGAAGTTTTCCTTCCATTTCTATTTTTTGGAACAGTTTCAGGAGAATAGGAATTAGTTCTTCTTTAAATGTTTGGTAGAATTCCCCCGGGAAGCCATCTGGCCCTGGGCTTTTGTTTGTTTGGAGATTTTTGATGACTGTTTCAATCTCCTTACTGGCTATGGGTCTGTTCAGGCTTTCTATTTCTTCCTGGTTCAGTTGTGGTAGTTTATATGTCTCTAGGAATGCATCCATTTCTTCCAGATTGTCAAATTTGTTGGCGTAGAGTTGCTCATAGTATGTTCTTATAATTGTTTGTATTTCTTTGGTGTTAGTTGTGATCTCTCCTCTTTCATTCATGATTTTATTTATTTGGGTCCTTTCTCTTTTCTTTTTGAAAAGTCTGGCCAGGCGTTTATCGATCTTATTAATTCTTTCAAAGAACCAGCTTCTCATTTCGTTGATTTGTTCTATTGTTTTTTTGGTTTCTATTTCATTGATTTCTGCTCTGATCTTTATGATTTCTCTTCTCTTGCTAGGTTTAGGGTTTCTTTCTTGTTCTTTCTCCAGCTCCTTTAGGTGTAGGGTTAGGTTGTGTACCTGAGACCTTTCTTGTTTCTTGAGAAAGGCTTGTACCACTATATATTTTCCTCTCAGGACTGCCTTTGTTGTGTCCCACAGATTTTGAACAGTTGTGTTTTCATTATCATTTGTTTCCATGAATTTTTTCAATTCTTCTTTAATTTCCTGGTTGACCCATTCATTCTTTAGAAGGATGCTGTTTAGTCTCCATGTATTTGGGTTCTTTCCAAATTTCCTCTTGAGATTGAATTCTAGCTTCAGAGCATTGTGGTCTGAAAATATGCAGGGAATGATCCCAATCTTTTGATACCGGCTGAGACCTGATTTAGGACCGAGGATGTAATCTATTCTGGAGACTGTTCCATGTGCACTAGAGAAGAATGTGTATTCTGTTGCTTTGGGATGAAATGTTCTGAATATATCTGTGATGTCCATCTGGTCCAGTGTGTCATTTAAGGCCTTTATTTCCTTGTTGCTCTTTTGCTTGGATGATCTGTCCATTTCAGCGAGGGGAGTGTTAAAGTCCCCTATTATTGTATTATTGTCGATGTGTTTCTTTGATTTTGTTATTAATTGGTTTATATAGTTGGCTGCTCCCACGTTAGGGGCATAGATATTTACAATTGTTAGATCTTCTTGTTGGACAGATCCTTTGAGTATGATATAGTGTCCTTCCTCATCTCTTATTATAGTCTTTGGCTTAAAATCTAATTGATCTGATATAAGGATTGCCACTCCTGCTTTCTTCTGATGTCCATTAGCATGGTAAATTCTTTTCCACCCCCTTACCTTAAATCTGGAGGTGTCTTCGGGTTTAAAATGAGTTTCTTGTAGGCAACATATAGATGGGTTTTGTTTTTTTATCCATTCTGATACCCTGTGTCTTTTGATTGGGGCATTTAGCCCATTAACATTCAGGGTAACTATTGAGAGATATGAATTTAGTGCCATTGTATTGCCTGTAAGGTGACTGTTATTGTATATTGTCTCTGTTCCTTTCTGATCTACTGCTTTTAGGCTCTCTCTTTGCTTAGAGGACCCCTTTCAATATTTCCTGTAGAGCCGGTTTGGTGTTTGCAAATTCTTTCAGTTTTTGTTTGTCCTGGAAGCTTTTAATCTCTCCTTCTATTTTCAATGATAGCCTAGCTGGATATAGTATTCTTGGCTGCATGTTTTTCTCGTTTAATGCTCTGAATATATCATGCCAGCTCTTTCTGGCCTGCCAGGTCTCTGTGGATAAGTCTGCTGCCAATCTAATATTTTTACCATTGTATGTTACAGACGTCTTCTCCCGGGCTGCTTTCAGGATTTTCTCTTTGTCACTAAGACTTGTAAATTTGACTATTAGGTGACGGGGTGTGGACCTCTTCTCATTGATTTTGAGGGGGGGTTCTCTGAACCTCCTGGATTTTGATGCTTGTTCCCTTTGCCATATTGTGGAAATTCTTTCCAATAATTCTCTCCAATATACCTTCTGCTCCCCTCTCTCTTTCTTCTTCTTCTGGAATCCCACTTATTCTAATGTTTGTTCATCTTATGGTGTCACTTATCTCTCGAATTCTGCCCTCGTGGTCCAGTAGCTGTTTGTCCCTCTTTTGCTCAGCTTCTTTATTCTCTGTCATTTGGTCTTCTATATCGCTAATTCTTTCTTCTGCCCCATTTATCCTAGCAGTGAGAGCTTCCATTTTTGATTGCACCTCATTAATAGCTGTTTTGATTTCATTTGGTTAGATTTTAGTTCTTTTATTTCTCCAGAAAGGGCTTTTATATCTCCCGAGAGGGTTTCTCTAATATCTTCCATGCCTTTTTCGAGCCCGGCTAGAACCTTGAGAATCGTCATTCTGAACTCTAGATCTGACTTATTACCAATGTCTGTATTGATTAGGTCCCTAGCCTTTGGTACTGCCTCTTGTTCTTTTTTTTGTGGTGAATTTTTCCGCCTTGTCATTTTGTCCAGATAAGAGTATATGAAGGAGCAAGTAAAATACTAAAAGGGTGGCAACAACCCCAGGAAAATATGCTTTAACCAAATCAGAAGAGATCCCAAATCATAAGGGGGGAGAAAGGGGATAAAAAGATGTTCAGAAAGAAAAGAAAAAAAAAAAAAAAAGAAGAAACAATTAAAAAAAAGAAATGACTAAAGAAAAAATATAAAAGAGAAAAAATATATATATAATAGATAAACTAGTTAAAAAAACGTTAAAAAAGGAAAGGGTAAAAGTTAAAAAAAATTTGGCAGAAGAAGAGAAAAAAAAATTGAAAAAGAAAAAAAAATTAAATTAACTGCAAGGCTAAAGAATCATGGGGAAAAAGCCATGAGTTCCGTGCTTTGCTTTCTCCTCCTCTGGAATTCCGCTGCTCTCCTTGGTATTGAAACTGCACTCCTTGGTAGGTGAACTTGGTCCTGGCTGGGTTTCTTGTTGACCTTCTGGGGGAGGGGCCTGTTGTAGTGATTCTCAAGTGTCTTTGCCCCAGGCGGAGTTGCACCACCCTTACCAGGGGCTGGGCTGAGTAATCCGCTCGGGTTTGCTTTCGGGAGCTTTTGTTCCCTGAGCGCTTTCCGTAGAGTTCCAGAGGACAGGAATGAAGATGGCGGCCTCCCAGTCTCCGGCCCAGAGGAGCTGAGAGCCCGGGGCCCCACTCCTCAGTGCACCCTCAGAGAACAGCGCCCAATTACTGCTGTCACCCTGGCCTCCGGCCGCGCTCCGAGCTCACCTAGCCTGTGACCGGTTCAAGGTAACCCCGAGCTGTGAGCTCACTCCTCGGCTCTGTCTTTGTAGCCGGCTTCCCCGTTCTAATACCTGTAAGCTCGGCGACACTCTGACACCCCAATCCTTCTGTGACCCTGCGGGACCTGAGGCCACGCTAACCCCGCGTGGGCTTCACCCCGGTTAAGCCTCTGGAGCGATGTCCCTCAGCGGAACAGACTTTTAAAAGTCCTGATTTTGTGCTCTGTTGCTCCACCGCTTTCCGGGAGCCGGCCCCTCCCCCCGCGGTCTATCTTCCCATCGCTTTGGATTCACTTCTCTGCCAATCCTACCTTTCAGAAAGTGGTTGATTTTCTGTTTCTAGAATTGCTGTTCTTCTTCTCTTCAATCTCCCGTTGGATTTGTAGGTGTTTGCAATCTTTAGATAAGCTATCTAGCTGATCTCCCGGGACCTGAAGTAGTCTCAGCCTGCTACTTCTCCGCCATCTTGACTCCTCCCCTACAATGATTAATTTTTAACCATTTTCTGAGAACTCAAATTTTATTTATCTGGTGCTAAATCTCCAGAAATGAATTGTAGAAGGATTTCTAAAGATTAATTTGGCAAAAAGTGGAAAACATACATGGTAGAGTGTACATATGCACTCTATATACATATGTGTGTGTGTGTGTGTGTGTGTGTGTGTGTGTGTGTGAGTATATACACACACATACATTTAGTTTTCTAAAGTGAGCTTTGAGGAAAAAAAAAAAAACCTCCAAATTTCAACAGATCTCTACCCTATAAGTATCGAATCCACCGTTTTCGGGCTGGATTTACTTGCTGATTTCTCTGTAGGTGAGTCTTCCCTGGCTGCTTGCATGGTTGACTTTCAACATCTAACTCTCAGCTCAAATATCTGTTAACTCATGATTTCCTGCCTGATAAGAGAAAAATGAAAAATGGGATTCATAAAATCCCCAAGTCCTGACTTCAACTATTAGCTACTACAATTTACAAAAAGCAAACGTTCAGCTTACTATAATCCTAAAGTGATAAGCAATGGAAGGGGAAAGAAAAACAAAGGACTGCAAAGTTTCAGAGTTTACCTAAATGAGAAGTAATTACAGTGCACATGGCAAACTAGAAGTAATACTTTTATATGATTTCCATGCTAACTTTTCCCTATACACACATCTCCATTTTTAAATGGAAAATAAAATCTTTGAAGTTTAAAATCAGTAATTATATGAGGCCTCCTTAAATGTGAAGAATAACGCAAGTAAGAAGAATATACATTGTTTATATATAATATGTTCCATTTAGTTAGGTAATATAATTACTCTTCTAAAATGAAATAGCAAATACCCTTTTTCTCCACACCTGCATTAAGCAAGCCATGCATGTTGGGGCACCTGAGTGGCTCAGTTGGTTAAGCAACGACTCTTGATTTCAGCTTAGGTCATGATCTCAGGGTCATGAGATTGAGCCCCAGGCTGGGCTCCAGGCTCAGCGGGGAGTCTGCTTGAGATTCTCCCCCTTCTCTTTGTCCCTCCCCCCACTTGCATACATGCTCTTTCTCTCAAATAAATTAATTTTTAAAAAGTTATACATGTAATCCACTTCAATATTGTAAATATTACTCTTCAATGATATCCAGATGCACATGTTTCTTTTCTTTCATAAAAGTTAGTTATCTCACCTTGCACTTTGGACACTTCTGGGCATTTCTCTGTCCATGCTCAATTTCGCTGGCCCAGTGACGCAACAATTTGTCCCCTTTTTTGTACTCCTTGCAGTTAACACCTTCATGCCAAGGAGAATGGCACTTAAAACACCAGACGAATTGGCAAGTGGGGCACTGGATCTGTATAAGGAAAAGTAATATTAAGCACTAGCAGACATATTGAGAGTGTTTAAAAAGATACAAATAGTGATGCTTGAGGAAATTAGCTAAAAGATTATAATTTGTCCAGATTTAAAATACTGCTCCCTCTACAAGATTAAACTACAAGAAGATGTGACTCTTAGGATATTAACGGAGGAAAGAATGGCTTTGGTATAGATGATAAGGCTGTCTGCACACTATACTGGAATTAAACACTGGGTCCTTCTGGAAATCATTTTGGCCTTATGAAAATCCTCTGGGTTGAAGCACAGAGTAAAACCTGAAGGCTCACAATACCTCTAATCTACACACTCAGGCTTTGCCTTTAAATCCACCTTTCCCTTGAACCAACTTCCCAGGCATTTCCATTGCTCTTTTTACCAATGGCTTTATTCACTTTTAAAAATCAAAGCCTCAAAAAAAAAAAAAAAAATCAAAGCCTCATAGATGCTCCATCAAATGAAAAACACACTGGCAAATAAACTTAATAAACTACTAAACCAGCATTTGCTAGCAAGTACCCTTTCAAATAAAGGATATGCCTCATTTGCTATTAATCTAAGGGAAGTTAATTATAAAATCAATACAAAGGATCCCTATTAGACATATATCTGTATGGGGGTCCTGTGGCCTGTGCCTACAAAACCATCAAAAAGATGTCTTTGTATTTTCACTATATGAGAGTGTGTGTTTATATTTATTGAAAATATTTGTCTTCCACTTGACCTGGAAGACATTTTATCGGGCTTCCTTTATTTTGAATGACAGGGAAGTATCCCATTATCATACAGTATTTCTGGTCTTCACTATCTAAGAACATATGGGCATAATTTGATTTTCTCAGCCCTGTTTGATTAAAGTGAATGAATAAAATGTTTCACTATGAACAACACTGCTAACTACTCTTCTCTGCACTCCAATATATTATTTCATGCAGCGTGAATGAATTTACAAGTACACTCTGAAGATTAGTTAGAATTTCTTTTGTTAAACTGTTGACAGTATCACTACTTACTTTTTCAGAAAACCACTTTTTGACACAAAGTTTCCAATATGCAGATTAACCACAGAGCAATTATATTCACAGCTCTTATGTTTATAACTCAAAGCAGTACAGTTTTCACTAATGTCTAGAATAGGTAATGTTCTTCCTATTTAAATATGAAGTAACAGAAGTACTTTTGCTTTTAATTTATATCAAAACAAAATAGTATTTTGTCCTAAAATTTTAAACATCATGTTTATTTATTTGTTGAAATTCTGTCATGTGTAATGTTTGTATTGCTGCATAACATGCAGTATTTATTTTTACCCACAAAATAATGCTACAAAGTAGGTAAAATCACAAGTTTACAGACAAGAAAACTAACACTCACAGAGATTAAATAACTCACCCAAAGTAATATAGCAAGCTTGTGTTAAGAAGAAATTTAAACATAAGTTTGTCTGGCTCCAAAGCCAGCATTCTTTTCACTTGGGCAAACACTCCCTCATACTAAACAGTATTCTTTCTTTGGCAATTGAAAACCAAAATGTTAGCAGCCAAAGGTCATGTGGTTAAGCTATTCAGTAAGTCAGAATTCTATATGACTACCAACATACAGTGAATTTCGAAAATCCTTTTCAAAATTTTACTTACATAAATTAGGAGACTCTTTGGTTAAAAAAAAAATCATGTTGCTATTTAGTGCTTTAAAAATCAACATTTTTGTCTTCTCTGATCATTAAAGTTAAAATAAGTCATTTTAAAGAACAATGAATTGAAGTGGGTAAACTCCAGCTACTAAAATGATATAAAATGATCATTTCTCCATGTCCTTGAACAATGATGAATAAATGTAAAAGCCATATGGGTCCTCCGTGAATGTCATCTTCGGATGTAATGAATGAAATGGGGAAGAAGTCAGAAAGACTTGCTTTTCCTCACGCATCTGCTATTCTCATAAGGGCTTGAATATTCAACTAAGTTCTCTTCTATTCAACATTATTAGTAATTCTGTCACTGACCTCTAGCACTGTCAAATAAAAAAAAATTCTCTTTGGTTCTTAGTATTTCTGAAATAAATAGAAGAGTGGATGAAACAATTTGACACTGGGATTAACTCTGTGGATATTGGACATCACAATGGTTTGAGGATTTTTGTGACCAAGTGCTGGATGGTCACCCCTATGGATCCTTAATGAAGAGAGTTAGAAATGTGTGATTGTCCTAATGTACCTGAATGATAAGGAGTCTAATACTTGGGTGTCTACACCAGTGACTCTGGTTCCCAACTTTGTGCAATAAACAGCTAAATCCCACAGTAGATCCTACTGCCAATCTTCACCAACAACATGGACTCCGTGGCAAATTGAAAAAAGTTTTGCAGCAAGCTCTCAAGTGAAGAGTACTCCTCTTTAAATTCAGACCCAACTGCCTATTGTCTCTCACTGAAAAAATTAAACTATTGCTTTGCTCTGGAATAAGATAATAAAAGGACTAATAGGAAGCCCTAACAACTCTGTTTTTCTGAATGGTCTAAATTCTAACTTTCTGGTCTGAAGATGCCTTATTCTATTGTGGCCTTAACCATATTCAAAATCGGCCTTATTAAAAAAAGACATATCAACATGAATGCTGCATCTTCTTTCACTCCTTTTTAAATACTTATTTCTCCACACGAAACACCATCTCACAACCACAGACCTCCCACACAGATTGCCTGCCTTCTCAGTAATTATATTCACAAAGAGGTCACTATAGTTCCAGCCTTGTTACTCAAAGTGTGGTCCAGGGACCAGCAACATTGGCATCACCTGGGAGTTCGCTGGGAACAAAAAAATCACGTCACAGCCCACACCTACTGAATCAGAGTCTGAATTTTCACTAGGTCTCCTGGTGATTCAGATGCATGCTCAAGTTTGAGAAGGTCTGCTTGCCCCTGTCTCCCTGGCCACAACTGATTCCACCAGCAATGAGTCCCTAAGCAGAAGCATGTATCCTCGGGCTGGCAAGCAGTCTGTGAGGTGGCTGGCAAGACAGATTTCTTTTTCTCTTGAGGAGTAAAATGGGAATACACATACACTTTACCTTTGTTGTGGAGACAAAGTTAAGAAAAGCTTAGTGACCACAGTGCAGATCACAAGAGACGGGAACAATAGACATTCACATCTAGTAACACAACAGAGGGGCTCTCATGCTGCTAGAGACAGTGTCCAATTCTCTGCAAGGTCTGCCTTGGTGGCTGCTGAGGCTGCTCTCTTGCCCTTCCTTCTTCCTGTGGAAACTTAGAGCAAATCTCATGAACTGAGATAGCTTGAGACAAAGCATATCTCTGCCTTTCGTAATTGGAGAAAGTCCAATTAACACAATCTGTCTATTGAAATCTTATCCAGATCAAATGCTACTTGCTTGGAGATGTCTTCCCTATCCTCCCAAACAGATTCAGTGTCTTTCTTAGAGAGCTCACATTCAACATGTAGATGTCTAATCTCTCTAACAAGCTACAAGCTCACTGAGGTTACAAAAGCTGTCTCAAGTATCCCCTACTTCTTGAGATAAGTAACAGAACTTCTGGCTCATGGTAGGCCCTCAAAGTTATTTGTAAAATGAATTGTTTGGCACACAGCAAGTACTATGTATTAGCTAATGTTAAATGAAATAAAAGAAAACCAACATATCTAATTTATGATCGGTGACTAAGATGGTATTATCTTTTCTTAGATTACCAGATCATGTTTACTAAATGTTTTATCCACGTGACATTTTACTGAACATCAAGATTGTGATCAAACTCTTCTACAACAGACAGGGCTGCAAGAGTTTCAAGAATAAAGTTATCAGAGTTAAGAATCTTGATTAACTTGTTCCAGAATCCATGAAAGATTAAAAAAAAAAACCTTTATCTTAAATTTCAAGCTTCTTAATTTCTTTAGTTTTTCTAAAAATCTGGGCTACTATGACACTCACAAGATAATTTAAATGCACTGACTTGTCTTAAACAAATGGTATTTTCTCTTGACAGTTCATGCCAAATAAAAAAATAACCCACAAAATATGGAGTTACAAACCAAAAAGGACCCCAGAAATGTCTTTTTTAACCTAATTATATACACTCCTATATACATAATTATTTTAAACAAATCATGAAATCATTACTTATCAAACTTAAAATATTAGACAATATCTATGTTTGAAATAATCATTGCAAATATGCACTAACTCAGTCTTCCAAGAAAAAATTGCTTTATTAGAACTACAGGGTAAGACAGATACGCAATAATGAAACGTACTCATCGATTCATTTGCCCGTTCAACTAATATTTATTAAGCACCTTCAAGTAGCAGGTACTGAGTGTACTGTGTTAGGCACATACAAAAGAATGAAAACACTTATCCTCAAGGAATTTATTGAAGATGGACAGGTGCAAACACAGAGAGCTATCAAACCATGTAATTACTGCTAAAAGAGAAGCCTGGACAAGTGGGAATCATGGGAAAGGTGCTTCAGGGAAGATTGGGAGGCTAATGTTCAGAAAGAAGGTGGCCTTGAAGGCTGAATGGGATGTCACTGGGGCCAATGCTAGAGTAACATTTCCGGCTGAGGGCCCAGCCTAAGCTTCCACAGAGGCCTGAAAGCACCTAGAGCACTAGGGAGAGAGCAAGGGTTCTCATGGGGCCCAAAAAGAGATGGCACTTCAGCCGCTTCAGTCCTGAGCCTTGCTGAAGTGTCCAATAAACAGGGTTCAGTTAGTCTTATATTTATGTTCCTACACCCTTGATGTATCTCTCAAAATACACTGTGGTCTAGGAACTTCTTAAATGAAACATAAAACTTATGGCTGTCAGACTAGGCTGTGTCCTAAGGAAACTGATCAATATAGACATAAGAGGGAAATCTCGTGGTTATAAAAAGTTTTATAATAACTTAAGATGTCCTTCTTGAAGACGAGAAGATTGGGAAGAAGTACAGGGTATTATAGAGAGGAGAAAAGTAGTG